CGTTTGGGTGCTGATGTGTAGATGTTAGCCCTCAGGTGAGGGGAACGTGGGAGCTCCGAAGTGAGAGCCGGTATCCTCCCAACCTAGCCGCAAAATCAGTAACTAAGGATAGGATTAGTGAAAGTTCTTTATGTCTGGACCAAAGGGTAAAGAATAGGTATGCTCCTATTTGGCACAATATAAATTGAACTAATTCATTTTATTCATTCACTATAATTTCTTGACAAGGAGAAGAATGTTTTCTTATATATTGAATATCAATAATTAAACGTTATTTTCTATAATTAGTTATTATTCAAATTATCTATTTATAATTAAACGTTATTTTCTATAATTAGTTATTAAACCTTTTGAACCATAGATCCTAGGACTGCTACTTCGACGAGGATCTTGGAGCTAACTCTGTAAACAACAATCAACAACAGCATACCATATCTACAACAACATCTTCTCTTAGAATTTTAAAAAAAACCATAGGATTTTAAGGTAGCTCGTCTAGTACAACATAAATCTTCACCTTATCTTTAGGCATTTACACAACCCTGTTGTGCAATTTAAACTCTAACACATATTAGGCTACGAGATCGTCGTTCATTACGACGTAAAATCTCTTATCCTCCAGACTGTTTGTATGACCGTGTCATGCAAGTGTAAGCCCTAAATAATAACAATTTGCAGGAAGAAACATTTAATAATATTTCCTTAAAATTGAAGTCAAATCATATGATAGCTTGGGAAATCAATGAGGTTCTCCTCAAGATCTGTGACAACCCCTAATTTTCTCCCTTTAGATTCCATAATAAATGTAAAAAATTTAGAAGTAAAACCACCTGGGCCTGAAGATTTGCAATTCCTAATATAATTTTTAATATCATCATTGGAGAATTCTCTTAATAAAGTTTCACAATCCAAAGAGAGAATATAAATAATAATAATAATAAATTTATCAAAAATAGAGGAATGAATATCAACATAATTATTAAGCAAAAATTTTAAAAAAAGTAAACATCTTCATAAGCAATATCTTTTTGATGTTGTAAATAAACATCATTGACTAAAATTTCTTTAATAAAAATAGAAGTATTACTAATTATTATCTTTTGGTAGAGAAATTTAACCTCATTTTTTGGTTTAGATAATCATTCAAATTTAGCTATTTGTTTTAATGATTTTTAGTCACAAGAGAGGGCATTATGAAGTTTATCTTGAATGATTAAGGTTTGATTAAGCAAATCAATGCAAAGTGGATCATCATTCAATCGATTCAAAAGATTTTCTTATTGAGACTTTAAATCATTGTTATGATTTGAAAGGTAGTTGGAATTATTCCAATTCTAGTGCTTAAAAGCTTCAACGACATTCTTCAATTTATCGTAAAGGGAAAATCATGAATCACCTTTAAAATGGACATTTCAAGCTTAATAAATAATGTTAATTACTCCAACAATTTGTATTCAAAAAATTATACTTTAAAACATAAGAAGCTCCCAAAGATATATAAATAAGAGAACAATCAAAAGTAGAATTATCCAAACCTTTACAAAAAGAAAAGGAAATAAATATACCCAAGAAACATTACCAAAAGCCCTATCAAGAAGCCAGCTTATAAGATTATCAACTTGATTGTTAAACCAAGTATGCTTCTGCACTATATGCTTATATTCTACCAATAAGCTATTCTGAATAAGCTGCCCCAAACAATTTTATAAGATAGAGGCAGGAATATCATTTAACCACCAATAAGCTAATCTGAATAAGCTGCCCCAAACAACAATGCAGATTATTCTGATAATCTGCAAATTATCAGATTATCAGAGTAATTTGCTTATCAGCAGATTATAAATAATCATCAGCTACGCCAAACAGACCCTTAGTTAGCTTTGAAGGAATAAGTGGAAGACCACCCACCTTTTGACTAACTGTAAGATTACAATTAAAATCACCCAAAAGAATTCAAGGATCAGTAATATTAGCAGTAAACAGAATAATTGAACTCCCAAAATCTTTACTTACATAACACTATTATCAGCATAAATAAAGGTAATAAAAATATAACAATAGAAAAGAAAGTAGCATATCCATACATGATTGAGATTTAATTTCTTACACAATAAAAGAAATAACCTCAACATTCTATTTAGTCAAAATATGACAATTATTAGCAATCAAAGTTATTCACATTCCCTTCATTATTGAATGCTTGAGCTTATTAAAAGAAAAATCATCAGAGATAAGAGAAGGAGATAGCTTAGTTTCAATACGACCAATAATATGAGCACGATTCTTATAAATAATCCTTTTACAGTCAGCACATGGGTTTGTTTACTAAACTCACTAACATTACAAGTGAAAGTATTAGGATAAATCATAATAAGCATAAGAGAAGGAAAAGCAGGCAGAAAAGAAAATTAATGCATAGCATTACATACTCTGGTTTTACCTTTCTTTGTCCTAGAAGTAGAGGGCAAAGGGACAAAAACATCATTAAGCAAAGTAGAAAATAATATTGTCATAGCAAAATAAACACCTCTAATAGTAGAATTTTGATCAATGATATTACCCACATTTGCCTTTGAATTAATAATAGCAGCAACTGAATTTTCATTAACATTAGCATTAGATAAAACTTAAGGTTAAATAAAGCTTTCATTCTCATTAGGCAAATCATTTTGCAAATTTAGATTTTTCTGATTCAACTCTACAACATCAGAAGAATCAAGTATAGCTAAAACAACATCATCAATATCTACAATAACAATAGGAACAACATTAGATTCAGTAAGATGAGCGGTGACATTATTACCAACATTTTTCATACTACTAGATTAAACATCAACATGACCATTTAAATTCGGCGCATTAATGCTATTAGTGACATTAGGAACCATAGTAGAAATGAGATCGACAACATTAATAGGATGCCTACTTGTGCTTCTTTGAAATATTTGAGTAGAATTGTACCTATAATTACTTCTTCCTCTATTTAAAGGTGCAACAATTTTAGACAGAACATTCACAATCTTAGAACACGATCGAGAATTGTGAGCAAAAGTACATGTCTTATAAGGAGAAGGCTTTCATTCATAAACTACGGGTAATTTAAGCTCTTGCCCTTCAATATCTAAAGCAATGAAATCAGGAAGGGAGGAGTTAACACTTATCTGAATATTGACTCTGTCAAAAGAAAGCCTCAAATATTTATATGTTAAATTATCAACTACCAAAGAAACTTCTATTCGACTAGATATTTTTGAGATACCAGCCTCATTTCAACAACCCAAAAGTAAATCAAGAAACTCAACCCAAATAGGTTTTTCCTTAAATACTTCTTTAATAGGTTTAAAATATTAAGTTTATTTTTTAAAAATGAATGGTTAACCATTTGTAAACCAAGGATCCCCAGCCAATACCATGTCAAAATTCTCAACACAATTAAATTTAAACAGAAAGAAAACTTCAGATAAATACAAAAGTTACAACAATACCTTTCAACTTCCAAATCTAGCAATAACTTGCTGTAAGTTGTCCTTGGAAGGCCGTTTACTAATCACATCTCCAACCAAAACAAGTGTTCAATTCTTTGAACCATCAAGATCTTCTTGAACAAAAAAATTAACTCAATATGAGAAATTTAGAATAAAAGTTAAATTAAAAGTAGCAGAAGTAGAGAGAATATGAGAAATTAGACTCTTCCCGTTAAGAGTAGGACTAAGCCTATGAATGAATAGAAAAGAAGAGGAAATAAGAGGAGAGAAATATCCCATGAAATGTAAAAACTAGGGGCAAAAACCCCAAAACCCAAAGAAAAATCAGCATTAAAGTAAAAGAGGAGAAGAAAAAAATTTTCCCAAAAGAAAAGAAAAAATGAAGAAGAAAACCATAAAATGGATCCAAAATCGACTCAGTCCCGTGAGCCGGACAACTGATTCCTCAGTCGACTTTTTTAGATAAATAAAATGCAATTTTAATAATATTTATTTAAATAAAAAATGTACATAAATATCCCGTAAATAACGTGCAGTACATGCCAAGCACGCGAACAGGAAACCTCCCTTCGTAGACGATATCAGTGTTGTCCATCAACCCTGCCACTCTCTTTCATCTCCCGAGCTCATTTCATGTCCGACAAGTCGAAGTAACGGTGCAACGGATCCACAGTTAATACAGGGCTGGAGAACAGCTACTCTCTCTTCTTCCACGATTAGAAGAAGCGTGCAGAGCCGTCTAATCGGCACGTCCCTTCGTGGTTTGCCCTTTTTGCATTGGCTGGAACTCGGCGTTGGAGAGTAGAAGCAGTCGCCCATCGGCTGCTCCTCCTCCTTTTGCGACGCCGGCGATAATCCCTAGCATTTCCCTAGGTTTACGATCATGACTTGGAGTGTGGTGAATGATGGTGATGGTATGCCCAGGGTCATCTTGACGGAGCCTAATGGCTCCTCTGCCGAGGTATTCCCTCGTTTCCTTTTTATTTTCTTCTGATTCCTTGCTATTGTGTAGACTAATGCTTATAATCTTACGGAATTTTACTGAATCTTATAATTGAAGGAAATATTGAATTTTATGCATGGGGTTTGGGGCTGTGTGGGTTTATCCTGTTAGGTTACTGATGAAACTTATTTTATGGCTTTTGTTGCTTACTTCTTTTACAGGTTCTTTTGTATGGCGGGCAGGTAGTTTCTTGGAAAAATGATCGGCGAGAAGAGCTGCTTTTTATGAGCTCCAAGGTATTTGGATAATTTGAGTCAGTAGAGCTGGGTGGCTAAATTGGTTCATTGGTTCCTTTTTTGCATGACTGTAGTCTGGGTTTGGTTTTATGTGACATTTAGGAAATTTTGTGACACTGATTTAGGGCATTGACTCTTCACTTGACCAACAGAATGCTAGCCATAGTGCTTCCGCACAAAAAAAAGAATAATAGAAGAAAAATGGAAATTTGTGCACTTGTAATAGATTTCTTAAAGAATGCATATGGTATGAAATGAATTTCGGCTTCATTTTTTTACCCTTAAACCTAGGCTTTATCTGACAGTTTATTTTCTTATAAGGTCAATCTAGTGTAGGTACTTGCCTTTTTTTCAATTTTCTTGTTATTTTGTTAAGTTTTCGAGTTGTATAAAATATATTTATTATTGCTATTCTCATGTAGCTATTCCTTTCATAACTTTTCAACTTGTCTAAGTGCAGGATCTTGCCATGGACTATGTTTGAATTCTCTTGTAGAATACATCCAATATATATAAATTTATTACATCAAGATATTACTTAAGCAATAATATTTTCTAATGATGACTAATTTCACATCAATAAAATTTCTTGTTGTGTATTTAGTCTTTATTTTGCTAATTCGAAGATCTTTTTCTTTTAAAAATTTTCACTATTGTTGCAATTTTTCATTCTTGAAGAAGCCTTAATCATGAAAATATTTTTATATACGAAATAACATATATTAAGTTGCCTCCTTTTATTATTATTATTATTATTATTTTCAGCATGCCTTTAACAAATACCAAAAAACAATGGGCTTAGTGTTCTTCATTAATTGTATTCTAATCGGTGATTATTCTAATTTTAATTGTTGCTCCCTTTACTTTTTGAAAACTTAATGATATCTTTGATGCATGCTTCTTCTTTTTAATATCCATTCAAGTCATAAAATCAAATGGATTCTCTGACGCCCATGTGATTTTTCGCAAGTGACACACAACATGGAAGACCTTAACTTGGCTGTGTAGCTAATTGTTTTAGTGTAAAGAAACCTTGAGCTTACTTCATTGGCGTTGGTTTCTTTGATCAAGATGATAACTTGAAGTGGAAATGCCATAAATATATAATAATATAAAGAGGAGGAAATATTAAGAATAGCTTATTTAGTCTCGCACATGGAGAGGAAATTGCTTTTTGAAGGGGCCTCACATTTTTTAAAGGACATGACATATAAATAATGAGCTAGGGTGGGCAAAATATTATATTTTAAATAATATATTAATTAAATAATAATAATTAAATGAATACAAATATATATAATTAGTGTTTTTAAAAAGAAATTCAAATAACTAGTAAGATAATATTATAAGATTATAAAATGGAAATATAAATAGATAAGAATGTAAAATTCTAAGAAAATATAGACAAACAAGTGTTTAAGCTGGGTATTTTTTCTTTAGGATTGGGCAAAATCATAAATTTAGGGTGGGCAAACTCCTCTTAATTTCCTTATATAAGTAATAAAAAAAATTGAGTGCGTGCACACCCACTATCACTGTAAGGTGGTTCTGCCCATGACTGTTGAAAATTATTATGAAATTGGTGTGAGCTGGTTCAATGACTAAAAGAATGTTTCTATTAATTTATGCTGAAATAATTTAACATCTTTTTTGTTCATACTTAATTAATCAGAAAATTAAATTTTATGTAATCAATTTATGTTTACTAATAGTTTTTCTTTGTTAAAATTAATGACTTGAGAGCATTATTAATCATGATACACTATTGTTTTAATAATTTTTAATTTAGCAATTAATTAGTTATTATATAGCGAATTATAATTTATTATCACAATACTTTTTATTTAATAAATATTGTAATTGCTGTATAGTTAGCATAATTAATCTCTAGGATTAATATCCTGATCATTAGGTAATATAAAATTATAGATTATTTTTTCTAAAAGTAACTGCATAATTAATTATTATAAAATTTTACCTAAAAATTAGTTTGACATCATCGCTTCCTAATTAGTCTTATGTACCAGATCTCTAGATTCTTGACTAAACTATGCCTGTTTGTAACATTTATTTTATATGACCAATCTATACTAATGTTAACATGGTTAACTTTGTCCTCTGTGTGCTTTCCTTGGCATGTTACTTTCTCCTCTTCAAAATTTGCCTCTCATAATGTGCCATTTTTTCCTTTGTAATAAAAGCATTTCACATATTTGAACCTATGATAATTATAGGTCATAGTTAGATGGAGAACACTTCTTAAAAGGGTTTTCATTAAGCAGCGTTCCTCAATTAACTTTTCATTTCCTACACCCTTAGGCAGCTAATAGTAGCTCTATTATATTTTTTAGAAAGAGGTAATAAACATATGGGTAACAATGCTTGATTCTTATCATCACCATGGCATCAATAATCCTCAAATCCATTACAATGGAATGAAACTTATTAATATTTGATTTAATATGCCTACATTCTGTTAAGTACTTGTGACAAATATTGAGCTTAGGTTTTTGGTTTTGTAAATAGAGGTTTCCTTCAAATGATGCTTGAATGATGACAGAGGAGTTATAGAGGCTAGCTAGCTCCTAAATTTCTGGTTTGCTATATTGATATCAACTCTTCTGAGGAGAGTTTGTTGGAGCTGATGTAATAAAAACTTTCAAACATGCCATGACAGGGGCAAAGTTGCTATAAATTAATTATTAAAATTCAAATTAGGCCAAAATATATTGGTGTTGAGCCCATTTTAAAGCCTTTTTAGTCATATTTATGTTTATGGCCAATATTTTTTTAATTATTCGTTTCATGTGAATTATTTTATTAGGTTTTATCCTCTCTTGGAATAGAATATATTTAGGGGCTGTTTGGTTGCTAGAGAAAAAAGTAATGTAAAATAAATACTATACGAGAGTAATGTATTATATTTGGAATACTTTGGGGTTCTTTGGTTTATTGTAAATAAACAAATGACTTCATTTTTTTTTTTTGTTTGAAGAAATATGAAAGTTAATACATTGGCGGCAGTTCCGAATTCAGGGAGAATGAACTAAGGGCTGAATTTCAAATATAATATGATTTTACATTGGATTTGAATTTCTTCCGAACAAACAATTAGATTTTCAAAATTCAAGAATTTGAAATATAATATGCCCCTAATTCGGCCGACGCCGACCAAACATGCTCTTAAAATTAAAGGTTTTCGGATTGTATGGGATTATATTGTGTTTAAATGTTTAGCCTTATATTTGAACATTGTGTATTATTAATTGAATGAAATGAATTATCTGCAGCTAATTAAGTATTTAAATAGCTCCTCGTTTTCAGGCTCTAATTAAAATATTGCTTGATGTTTGGCTAAACCAAATTCATATTCAATCTAGGAAACTAACAACTTTTTTTTTTGTTCTTTAGTTAAACTGACAAACTACACCATCAATTTTATTAGTAGTCCTGCACTATTAATTATTTTTGGAAATAAAATACTACGTGTTATTTCTTTCCTCGTTCCTCACTACATCCAATGGTCTACAAATAGGTCACTCACTCATTCTCTGTTTTTTTCTGCAAGATATTGCTTTTATCTAATATCTAAATCAAAGTACGTAGTGATTGTCACTTTGTAAATTGCTTTGGAAGTGTTGATTGTTTGCATTCTTTTACATATTATATCCGTATTCATCCATGCATTTTGTATTTATATGCTTGTCACATAACCTGAAATTTAGGCATGCATGCATGTTTTTCTGTATGCTAGCTACCTTATAGGTATAAAAAAGTCTGACTATTTTTTCTTGTTCAATAGGCTGTTTTGAAACCACCTAAAGCTATCAGAGGAGGAATTCCTATCTTTTTCCCTCAAGTAATTCTATTTGTGCTTTGCGTACTTCATGAGTAGCCTAATTTCTTTTATTGTATCTTTGTGCATATCTAACTCGTTATGTGCTATAGTTTGGTTTGGGATCCCTGGAGCAGCATGGCTTTGCAAGGAACAGATTGTGGGCAATGGATAGCTGTGCATCTCCATTACCTCCTCCCAAGAATCATTCTACAATAGATCTAGTTTTGAAGTCCCAAGAAGAGGACATGAAGACATTGCCAAGGTAATATTTGAGAGAAGCTCATTGAAAAGGTCATCTGTGCATACTTCTGATGGATTTTGCATGATTTAAACTTTGAGCAATGCAGCTTTGAGCTACGGCTGCGAATTATATTGAGCCCAGGCAAGCTCACTTTGATTCCTCGGGTGAGGAATACTGACAGCAAACAATTTACATTCACCCTTGGATTGCGTAATTACCTTTCTGTTTCAGACATCAGGTACTTGGACTTTAGCCCAGTTCTTCCATTAGAGTAACTCTATCAATCTGTTGTTTAGTTTTTCATTGTCTATTTTATGTAGTTTCTTATAATGAAAAGAATGTAGAAAGCTGCTGGATATGGTAATGTTTTATTTGTCCACGTCTGCTCTCTGACTTTGCTCATAGTGTTAATTGACCCATTCATTTTTACTTCGAAGTTTGAAAAGATTATTTCTTTTCCCAGTGAAATATTTTAGTGCATGATTTCTTTGGCAGTGAAGTCCGAGTTGAGGGATTGGAGACGCTCGACTATTTTGATAATCTTATGCAAAGAGAGAGGTTCACTGAACAAGCAGATGCAATTACGTTTGATGGGGAGGTTTGCATATTTTAGCTTCTTTTAGTTTGTATACTTCATTGTTTTATGCATTTCCACTTTAATTGGCTATATATTGGCTTCCTTGTAATTTCATGGAAACTTATGATGGCAGATGCAATGCATTTTGTTATGGGATCGTTTCCCTTACAAAGTAAAATCATACCTCATTAAAATATGCTTTTCATCCATTTTTCAATTTGGTGTTACCATTAGAATTTGCTATAAGAAAAGGAAGCTGTAATGTTACTATGTTCTTAATTCTTGTTGGTCAAGTGGATCTAATTAACGGTATAGGCTTTCTTTTGAACTTTATCTTGGGCTAATATTTGCAACTGTATGATTTTAAGAGTTATTTTTAATGAGCTTCTTTAATGGTTAAGTGGCTCTCTCTCAGGTATAAAGTGCACTCACTTTTCAGTAATTATACTCATTCCTCGAGCATTTTTGCTGCTTTGCACTCATTACTACCAGATAACCGAAATTATAACCATCATGCCTTGTTTTGTTAAATTATAACTTGGCTTATTTGTTTGCATGAAATTTCAATTGCTTGCTTCTCTTTTGTAGTTTTTAATCGTAATTTCTATTTTGAATCCAAGGTTCTTTCACAAGAATTAGTTTTAAATTTTTTTTATTTTCGAAATAATAAATAGTTATTTGAAATTATTGATCTGCTTTCACCAGAGTTACATTTTTGTCCCATAAATTGGTTGCATCTTATTTAAATTTTATGGTAGTCCTAATATTAGAAACTCTAAACTCTTAAATGTCCTACATCTCATGCCCATAAATACCCATTGTTGTATTGCTCAATACGTGTCAAACTCAATTTCTTTCATGGTACAAGAAATATAGACTTCTTTCCTTCACCGTAGGATTTACAACCCAGCTTCTGGTGCTTTCACATGTTTCTAGCTTAAACTATATTCTACTTCGGGACATTTACATACATAGCGCACAATTCTTGTGTATTCACATATCTCACATCTAAACTTTCATATTTACGCACCTAGCACTCAAATCTCTAATATCAAATCAAATCTAGCACTGTTACCACTTTTTAAAAGTCAAACACACCTCTTCATGCATAAGTTTAAACCACCAAAGTGCTATATGGAAGTTTAGATGTGATATATATAAATAAATATGAATTGTGTGCTACATATGTGAATTTCTCCTACTATCTCACAAGTGTTTCCTTAGCAGGTTGACAGAGTTTATTTAAGCACGCCGGGAAAGATAGCCATCATAGACCATGAGAAGAAAAGGACCCTTGTTCTGAGAAAGGAAGGCCTGCCTGATGCTGGTAGGTTGCTTTCTCTTAACACGGCCTGCTGCTTTTCCTTTCCTCCCAGTGCAATTTTATTTCTTTGAACATTTACATACATAGCATACAATTCTTATTTTTTTATATATCTCGCACCTAAACTTGCATATGTACACTTATAGCACTTAAATTTTTAACATCATATAAAAATTGCATTATTATCACTTTTTATAAGTGAAATACATCTTTTCATGCACGGGAGCAAAAAATAAAGTTCAGGTGTGAGATATGTAAATACACAAGTGTTCTGTGCTACATATGTAAATTTCCCTTGTTTCTTTCCTCTCTGCAGCCCTTTGGAACCCATGGGATAAGAAGTCGAAGGCTCTCCCAGATTTTGGTGATGAGGATTACCAGTTCATGCTATGCTTGGATTCCGCAGCTGTTGAGAATCCAATCAACCTCAAACCATCGGAAGAATGGATGGGCCGTCAGGAACTGTCAACCGTGTTGTCGAGCTACTTCAGCGGACAACTTGATCCTTGCAAAGTTCTTGCGGGACACTAACCGGTCATCGTATCTTCCATTTCGCACCAAGGTTCATCAGAGTAAGTATTGTATAGCTACAGATGTTCTTACTTTGTTTTTCTGCATGTGTGGTTGGGCATCATTGGACTATGTTTGAGTTCCGATTTGTAGAGAACGTTTGAGTTAATCATGTGTTATTCTTTCCCTTTTTTTCTGTAGAAATTTACAACTGAACTGTGTCTTTTCAAATGCTATATTTTCTGAAAATAGGAAGATTGGTTTTCTGGAACTATTTGAACTCTACTTAGCTTGATATACTTGTTATTTCTCAGTTGCATCTTTTTTGTCAGGAAAAGTAGATAATTTTGTATTTTTCCCCATGTGGTAATAATCATTAGTGGAATTTTCATCAACTATGAATTTTCTGATTGTTATCATGATTATTCACTAAAGTTTTTAGGGGCATTTACATATTAACACACAAATTTTCATATTTAGTTGTGCTAAAATCAAACTTTGACATCACATAAAAAAAGAAACACTATCGTTAACCTTTTACAATTGAAATACACCTTTAATACGTAAGTGTTCTAAATATAAATATCAATCTCCTAGGTGTTAGATTTAAAAATATATAAAAATTGTTTGGTTTGTATGTAAATTTTTCAAATTTTTTTTTGTGATCCCAAGCGCACGCCTAATGTTCTGATTTAGGGGTTTTTAGTCTTGGACGAGTCTCTGGTGTAAAAAGGTGTTTGGCTCACTCGGAGGTAATCCAAAAGCTATTTTTATGTAATGATTCTGAAGGATGGTGAAATTGGAAGTGAAAAAAGGTTGCATGATAGTTAATCCTTGTATTTTGTTGAAGTGAATGATTATTAAAGTAAACATTGGTAAATTATTTTCTAGCAAATAAAATATTTTGTTTTTATTTAGGGGCATTTACATACAGCCACCTAATTTTTATGTATTTACATATCAAAACCTAATTTTTACATTAATCACCCAATTCTTTCATATCAAATAAAAATATTACTATTTTAAAATTTAAAAGAGTGAAATGCACACTTTCTTCTTTAAATAAAATGGAATATATGTAAAAATTAAAATTTGGGTGTTAGAAAAGTAAATATAGAAGAATAAAGTGGTATTTTTATTATTTGATTTGAGAAAAAAGCATAAAAGAAACATTGGGCTTAGATTTGGGATAATGTTTCCATACCCTGTCAAGTTTGTCGGAATTACTATATGCCCCAATTTAGAGCTGGCACTAAAATTTTTTTAATAGGATTAGATTATGAATTTAATCCAATCTGACTTTTACTTCAAATTGAAATACATCTTCAATAAAGTTTGTGTAAATGAGAGTGCATTTGGGGCGATTTTTATGCTGATTTCTGTTTTCGAAGGCAGCTCAGGAGATGTTTGGGAGCTCGCTTTATCATTACTAAAATCTTAGAGAAGCAAACAACCCCGGTTGAACTGCCTTCCATGGAACTGATTGCATGGAGCATAATGTCGTAGGGTTTATGTGACATCCCGATGGAGTGGATTTTCTCTTCTATCTTCTTGCCTTTTAATTGAGTGTATGTATCTCTTTGATCCTTTTTTGTTTTAGAAACACAAAAAGAAGCTTTTGTGTTTTTTTTTTTTCGGTTTTGCTTCTGCGTAGCCAGATTTTCAGAATCTAATCTTTTCTGTGCTTTGAAATATTTGATTGGGCGTTTAGGGTGCGCATTTCATGCTATTTTGGGCTTTGCATTCCATGCTATATCGTTGGAATCTACACATGAATATTTTATTTTGAATTTTAGGGCCAGTTGGAACTTGGTTGAGGCACAGATAATGGTGAAAGTTTAGTTATGAACTTTGCAAATATATAATATTTCTTATCTTTGTATGTTAGTTCAGAGAAAATGTTATACAATTTTTTTGTCATGTGGTTGAGTTTGCTTTGATTGGGGAGCTATTGACTATGGTTGGGGCTGCCTTATGATGATTTTAGGATTTTATGGTGTGCAATCCATTCTCTGTGATTGAAATTCATAATTTAGTAATTTGTTTTGGGATTTCTCGAGTCTTACTCTGGATTTGTGTGATAATTCTATTCTTAGAGATTTGTAATATGTACTATTTGTCAGCATCTCTATGAGCAAATAAGTGGTATACTTCTTATGCTTCATAAGTTTATAGTATTAATTTGTGTCAATGATATGTTGTTGATATTCTATTTGATGAAGAAGTGTAGCTTCTTAAGGAAATAATTTATATTCTTTAGGGTTATATCAATTATTTATGGTTAAATTCTTTATTGTTTTAGGAGTAGCTCGAGATCTTAGGATTGCATAACAATTAGGGATCTTGGTTTATTTAATAATTAAAGAATGATTCACATGCATGCCACTCAACTCTTATGAATTTACATCACTATAATCTAGATTTTAAGTTTTACATAAAAATCATTTTATATATGCATGAAAATATGTATATCAATTTTTAAAGTTGAAAAGGTGATCTTTTTGATATGATATGAAAGATTTGAGTGATATAAATGCAAAAAAGATTAGTTATTTCATATGTAATACATAAGAATTAAGTGGTTCCCCTCAATTACAATGATAAATAAATGTGATTTTTTACTTTTTTTTTTCATTTGATGGAAATGAATTTCTTCTCTCGCAAATTTATTGCTCCATGTTCCGTGGAATGGAATTCATAAGCAATCCATGCTTAACTGTCACTTGGTGGTTTAGGGAATACATTTCTTCTCTGTATGCAAGTGCATAATCAAGTTTATAATGTCTGGGCTATATGATATGGAATTTAAAATGGTGCTTCTTACTGTGTGATGAGAATGAATTTACATTCAACCGCTCAATTCCTAATTATTATTCGAACACCTCAATTTCATGTTTACATACCATGCCATCTCACCTATGCATGAAATGTGTTTTTCACTTTTTATAAGTTAAAATGGCCGTAATTTTGATGTGATATTGAAGATCTAAGTGGTTTATATGTAAAAACATAAATTTTAGTTGTTAGGTGAATAATATGTATGTAAAAGCTAATGAAAACTATCTATGCTATTCATATGAATTGGATGATATGTATGTAAGATTTATGGTCATTGGTGATTTTTAAAGATGTATTTAGACAATTTGCATGTATACGAGCCAAATTTTATGCATTCATATAAATATTTTTCTTCATGGCTACGGTATTCGACCTTGTTTGCATTTATAATTATATGCTGCTATATTTAGCATGATAATGGCATGGTGCAAGCTATATGTATTGTGGTTTTTTCTAGCGTTGATTTTGCCAATGTTATGTAGGGT